CTTGACCTGGAATACTGTTTCTTTAATTCACAACTACACCTGAATATTTTTCTTTTAGTTCCCTCCTTTCCTCTCTTTTTCTACCTGTGTCTCTTTCTCTAAGGGAAATACAGTGGGAGAAAAGTGAAGTTAGAATTCATTCATCCATCCATCCGCCTATCCATTTGTGTTTCCTTCCATCCATCTATTCACCCATCCACCCACTCACCAACGCAACCATTCATCCATTTGTTTATTCATTCTTTCATTTAGTAAACAATGACTATGAGCCAAAACTGCCCCAGGCTGTGGGAATAAAAAGCTGAATATGACATGGTTCTTTCTCCCAGGGAAGTCAGGTTTAGTTAAGGAAAGAGATATGTCAATAAAGGAAAAAAACAAAGACCACAGAGTAGAGATCTGGCATCTTCCTCAGGAAAATCTTCAAGGAGGAATTTGGAAGGTTGAGTTGGAGTTCATCAAAGAGAGAAGGGAGCATTTCTAAGAAGAGGGAACAGTGCGTGAAGTATGAGGGCTTGCTGAGAGCCGAGTGTGTTTGCTGTTCAGTGTGTCTGGGGCACAGCAGGCACTGGCAGGAGTGGCCCAGAAAGAGAGCCAAGGCCAGATCACAAATGGTCACCTGAGCAGTAGAATTAAAGTGTTCTAGAAAGATACTCCTGGAGCAGCTGTGAGGGGTAGACTGGAGGCAGGCAAGCCAGGGGGTCAGGAGCAAGCCTGGGCTTAAGTCTTCCCACTGGACACTTACTCTCAATGCCTCAGTCTCCTGAGCTATATCCAGATTCTTCCTGCTGCATGGCACAACATGGTACCCTATCCCCCCAATTTCCATCTGTTGCTTATGGTTCTTCCTGTTTCATGTGACTCAGCACAGGGAGATCCCTACAGAGAGCAGGTTTCTTTGAGCACTCTGTAAGAGGGAAGCTAGACAATTAATGTTTAACTCAATGTTCACATTAGATTAATTCCAGCAGGAACTATTTTATATGCTCAGAACAAAACCCAGATGTGGGGTGGAAGAGACATAAAAAGCTTCATTGAAATCTTCCCAGCGACCTCAATTTTAACAAACTCATTTGGAGGCTCCAGTTTTTGTACATCATCCAAATTACAACAATCGATTTATTTTACAATTGGAAATGTAATTACTGCTTAGAATGTAATTAAAATAAGCAGTTTTCTATCAACTTGCCAGTGATTCAGAGGTAAGGAATACTGTTATTACAGAACATACTTCTGGAGGTGACTAAAAACTCTTTCCATTTCTCTTGTCTCCAAGAAAAATTCTTCTTCCTGAAGAATGTATTGTTGGAGGACATAGGAAATACTTAGCCTGGGGCCTGCTACCTCTTCAACATACAATAAATGCTAGTTTTAATCTCAGAAACCAGTCTTTTCCTCCAGATGCCATGCAAGACAGTTAGACTGGAAGTGAGCAATCTTGAGTTGCTGGGATCCACACGATCTCCAACACTTTCCTGATGTCTCCTTTGGGTTGACTCTTTTTTTTTTTTTTTTTGTAAATGTCATGATTGTGCCTTTTCTGTAGACCTCACAGCATGAATTTTAGGCTAATATGAGATCGAGCATGTGAGAATGGTTTTACAGTGGCTGGCAAGTGTAGGCACTCAGCGGATGGTTGTTGAATCATGATCTGAAATGATCTAGTTACTGAGTTTCAGTTGAAGGATCACCTTGGGATTCATGTGCTTTTATGTTTGCAGCTGCTAAGCCATAACGGATGGTTGTTGAATCATGATCTGAAATGATCTAGTTGCTGGGTTTCAGTTGAAGGATCACCTTGGGATTCATGTGCTTTTATGTTTGCAGCTGCTAAGCCATACTCCCAAAGATTTCTTCAAACCTTGGGGGTCTTGGTCTTATATTTTGGGTGTTCCACTTTTCGATTGTGTTTCCGGGTTATATTGGTAGCTAGAGTTTTATACCTTGATTACCTCAGTTAGGGGAAACTTTCTTATGACTTTAGATAATATTTTGAAATATGGTTTTAAAGACTCCATAGTATTTTATGTTATAAATGTACTATAACCTGTTTTTTTCCTTGATGTTAGATGCTTCGCTGGTTTTCAATATTTAATCAATTTAAAACCAATGCAATAACATTGTTGTATGTTAATTTTTATTCAGGTATCTGATTAGGTTTCTTGAGATAGATTTTTGGAAGTGAAATTATTGGGTTCAATAATTTAAATTTTATAAAGATCTGAAAATATGTTTTAAAATTACCCTCTAGAAACTTTGGCATCATTTATGCCAGAGAGCATGTGACATTTCACCATACTCATTATACCACTGAGTATTAGCTTCTGTTCTCTTTTCTTATTTGGTGCCCATTTGATATTTGATTTTCATGTGCTTTTCCTTTAGAAGTGAAATGGCATTATTTTCTGAGTTGCTTTAGACAAGTCAACATGTTAAAACATCTGAGAGTATAAGTCATTTGTTGTTTTGCAGAGTCAGTATACCACCTGTCCCTGCAGAATATGGTGTGGGATCCACAGAAAGTCCGGTCTGATCTCCAGTCCCAGTTTGGTTTCGATGATCTTCACACAGAACAAATCCTGAATTATTCAGCGGAACTAAAGGAGGTACCTGTGCTTGGCTGCTTCTCACACCTTTGGGTCTCTCCTTGAGACGACTCTAGAATATTCTACTGGGGCAGATTGGGTGATGGCAATGGGAGAGTGTAGCCAGACAGAAGAGTTCTCCTACCAGTATCTGAGCTCCTTGGAGATGGCAGTATCCCTTTCCTCTTACCTTGCCATTTTATCCCCATACTCAAAGGCAGTTTGGAAAGAATATGAATTAGCAGGGCGAGAAGCCAGGTCAGGTCAGGTGGGAGATTCTGAGGACTAGAGAGCAGCAATGGGGGTCCAGGTGGGAAGGGGTGCCCAGCAGGAGTGTGGGGAGACACAAGTAGGGGGGTTTCTAGACAAAGAGATGGTTGTCACTAGGGGAGTAGAAGATGAAGGTTGTGGAGTCCAGCTGGGTTGCCAGAGTTGAGCCTCATATCCCGAACTAGGTGAAATAAAGGGATTGGACTAGATGACCCTCAAGTCCCGGGTCACTTCTAATATTCTGAGGTTCTGGGCAGTATCTTTCACCTGCAGAGTTTCCTTTGTCACTCTAGCCCATTTGTAGGCATTTCTTCTTTATGTGGTGTGGATCCAAGAGCTATACACCTGGAGCTTGGCCCACTGACCCCTTGTGCAGACACCCGCCTCCAGGATTAGATCTTTCCTGATGCAGCCCCTGGGGGAGGGTTGAACTATGAGTGTTTGGAGAAGGCCTACTGTCTCCTATCGAGGTCTTGTCCACACTGGGGATATGGATTTGGCCCACTTCTCTGTGAGGTCCCATGACCGGATCTTCCCTGATAGCCATACTTCTGGAGGTGACTAAAAACTCTTTCCATTTCTCTTGTCTCCAAGAAAAATTCTTCTTCCTGAAGAATGTATTGTTGGAGGACATAGGAAATACTTAGCCTGGGGCCTGCTACCTCTTCAACATACAATAAATGCTAGTTTTAATCTCAGAAACCAGTCTTTTCCTCCAGATGCCATGCAAGACAGTTAGACTGGAAGTGAGCAATCTTGAGTTGCTGGGATCCACACGATCTCCAACACTTTCCTGATGTCTCCTTTGGGTTGACTCTTTTTTTTTTTTTTTTTTGTAAAGAAAATTGTCATTGGATTTAGGGGCCCCCC